CATTTATATGTGAACAGGCAAATATATCTATATATAGATTCTGGAGTTCCTCAGGGTTCTATCTTAAGGCCATTGATATTACTTTCATTCATGAATGATCAACATTTTCATCTGAGTTTGTACAAACATTGAATCGTTCCAAACTGGACTATGGTAGTATAGTATATGATTCAGCTCAAAAGAGCACACTGAAACACTGTACTAGCTCAATCGATAGCTCAAATTACTAATCCGATCATCGAAAATAGTAACATTACCATATGCCAGCAAAATGTCAGCCTATCCAAATAATCACGTATTTGCAAGAAAGTTCCAAGAAACCGAAAATGAGTCTTCCTTTTTACGGGGGTTAACAGAATCCTAACAAAACTGAATTTACCCCAACTTGAAACAATCAATCCCACCGAAATCGACACCCCCTCCACCATGGACAATACATATATCATCTACTATCCTGAATTTGAACAATTTGAAGAAATCCGAAAACCATCCATTATTACTCAAAAACTTTTTTAAATAGTTGAAAAATTTGAAAACTTTCAGTGCATATACACTGGCGCTTCCCAATTTGAATGTGGCGTTGATGGCTGCGCACACAACCGAGTCTCTCGCTAAATTCCAAGTGACGTAGGGCTCCAGGGAGCAGAACCAACAGCAAATTGGATAATCGTCTCAGACGCTTTCAGCGCTATTCAGTCACTGTAACAATTATATTGATTGAGATAGAATTAGGATTGGATTAAAATTAGCAATTAATCAGAGGAAAAACTCAAATGTTCAGTTCCTCTGGTGCCCATCACATCGGAATAGAAGACAACAAGATTAGCAAAAGCAGCAAGTGGTGATACATCTACTCACCAAATAACCAAAATTATTTACCGAGACATGAAACCAGCACTGAAAAAAAAACCTCACATTACAATGGCAACCAACAAAAATGGGAAACATCCAATTCCAAACTTTCCAGAGTCAAACCATCCGTCATACCATACAACAACACAGCATACAACAAGTCATACCAACACAACAAAATTGTTGTGTTAGTATTCAAATAACTTATTTGATTACTATTTCGAATTTTATCCTTGTTATAAACATTCTTGTTTCTTGAGATTAATAGAGATTATTATATCACCTAAGAAACAACGAGAACAAACCATCCTATCTCGCTTACATATTGGGCACAGATTTCTCACGCACAGTTATCTACTCACAGGAGAACAAGTATCAATGTGTTATACAGGCTGATTCACGGTGGATGGCACATTAGACGTTTCTGGTGAACCAGACAACGGATCACTTAAAATTAGCAATTAATCAGAGGAAAAACTCAAATGTTCAGTTCCTCTGGTGCCCATCACATCGGAATAGAAGACAACAAGATTAGCAAAAGCAGCATGTGGTGATACATCTACTCACCAAATAATCAAAATTATTTACCGAGACATGAAACCAGCACTGAAAAAAAAACCTCACGTATCCTCACGTATCGGGCACAGATTTCTCACGCACAGTTATCTACTCACAGGAGAACAAGTATCAATGTGTTATATATGACATACTAAACTGACAGGCGTTTATATTCTAACAAAGTGCCCACTATACACAAACGAGAAACTTCAACATAATCTGGCAAATAACTTGAAAACTATATTGAGTGATGAATGAGGTACTCAATAAGATACTCAATTATTAAAATTCCTCAGTGACATATATGTACTGAACAAAATTTGAGTGATATTGTAACAACCATAACAATCTGTAAATGACATATAGCTAACAACCATCTGCTTCAAAAATGGCAGCCTTTGAAAGTCAAAACCTGGGTGAACTAGGCATTAGTAAAGTATTAACTTTTGATAGATATTCTTAAAAATAAACAGAACAGAAATTGTGATTTCCACGATCATGAGACAAGAGGATGTGATTTGTTGAGGGCAAGTAGATTCAGACTGAAAAAGTCAAGCAGAAACTCTTATCGACATTAACTTCTACAATATTCTACCTCCCCATATCAAAAGTTGATACAAAAGTATCTGAAAAACCTATTGATTACAAATTGTGTTTACTGACGAGTATATAGCTGTCTTATCCAAAGAAACACAAATAAACAGCGAAGCAGTATAATATTCATTTCTGGGTAATAATGTATATGTGTATATGTAGAGTATCTTATTTGTATACATCTAAAAGATCAATGAATTATCTTTTCTTCCACATTCTAACTTTTTAGTGAGTCCCATGATATTTCATTAAGGGTGTTCAAGAACCAGTCATTCAGCCAAATGATAGCAGCGCCCAAAGTTGGAATTGTCACATGGATCCATTTTGTTTCTAAGATAATACAATCCCTTTGACCAAACGCAAAGTTTACACTTCTTCACGAATCAGAAATTAGCATTTTTATACCAAATCTACTATGAATGTATAGGAATTACATTACAATTACAAATTTTTCTAAATTAGTCTTAATCATTACTTTCTTATTAGTCAGTTTAAAGTCCATTTCTTTAGATTTGTTTACTGCCAGTCTTCAAGCCCACTGACTAATAAGAAAGTTTTTCTACCTTATTCAGAGGAATCGGGCAAATTTCGGATATGCAGTTGGTTAGTACCTCGTCTACTAGATGGAGTGACATTTTGTTGTTCGCTCCAACTTCGGAAAAGGAATGAAATACTCTGAAAGAATTCCCATTTTCATTTATGGAATATCATTAACTTTAGGTCGATAATGGCCACTATCTTGCACTGACGAGGGGCTAAAGAGCCCGAAACCGGTCTGCAAGTGTGCCCGTACCAAAATTGGCAGTCGACTGTTTCAGTTGTATGACCAATAGCATATGCTGGAAATATTCTGTGAAGATTCCTACACTGACGCCTGTCGGATATATTCCAACGCCTTTCGTGGTATTAGACAGGGGAGTAGTTGTTTTCTGATAGTCGTCAATCCATTCAACCTACTTTGTAGGTATATCCGAGACTGGTTTGAACGTTTAAAGTTCATTTCTTTAGATTTAATAATTACTGTCAAAAAATGAATACATTTTCATATTTAGTCAATATGCCAATTGTTTCTTACCTAATACTGCCACTGTGAGTTGCCAACTGTGTCCAATTTGTACAAAAGCATCAATAGCATCCTCTAAGCGGTCACCAACATTTTGAGTTACAGGAGGTCCGGCGCGAATAAAATAAAATGGAATTTGTAGTAAACCGAGAACAACAAATCCAAATAATCCTGTTTGAAAAAGAGGAATTAACGTATGATGCCAATTAAAAAAAAATATATAGTACCTTCCCACCCAACTGCTTGCAATGGTGGGATGTCTTGTCCAGAAACAAATTTCTCCTCAACGACCATCTGAATCGATTGAATTATCTGAGCAATAACAATCAACATATCACCTGAAAAATAATATTTTGAGGTTATTTTTGAAAGAAAACTCACACAAAACGATACACTTGTATATTCTGAGTTTATGTTCTATGTGATTTCCGTTCCCGTTGGTTTTCTTTACTGGAAAAACTCCATCGAGGAAAATATATCCAGGAAAAGTAGAAAGGTACGTCAGGTGTATAAAATAAATATTTATTTTTGACAGCTAAGCTACTGGATCTCAGCAAAACTGAATTGTGTATTGTTACATATCTCGATAAATTTAATTTAGAGCATTTTTAGATTCATTCCTGTTTATTTTTTCTAATTCAATTAGTTTTTGTTTTCAGATAAGCGATCACACGGTCTTTTTTGTTTGTTTATTTATTGATGAAGAATAATAATCACGCATATNTTGTTTGGGTTGTTTTTGAGTTGTAGGTATATACTATTTTTTTTATTTACCGATTTGACCAAAGATGTAGATATCCAATCTTTCCTTTTTTTTTGGTTTCTTTTTATTGGTATATAACTGGTGCATTGCTCAGCTTCATATTGTAAATGTGCAACAAATCTCTCAACTACAATATCCAAGTTACTATCTGAAAAAATGTTTTGACAATTTGTGTTTTTTATATTTTCAATAAACTTTTTTTCATTGAGCTGTCTTATGGTTTTTTTCTCATATTTTTTTGGTTCAGTGTTTTTTCCGAATACTTCTTGAACAATAATGGTTGAGTGATCTGTTATATCTGTGAGAGTAACTATCGGGATTGAAAATTCGATATCTTGTATAGTACAGGGTTTAATAAAGATGTGGTCAAGACTGTCAAAAAATGAATACATTTTCATATTTAGTCAATATGCCAATTGTTTCTTACCTAATACTGCCACTGTGAGTTGCCAACTGTGTCCAATTTGTACAAAAGCATCAATAGCATCCTCTAAGCGGTCACCAACATTTTGAGTTACAGGAGGTCCGGCGCGAATAAAATAAAATGGAATTTGTAGTAAACCGAGAACAACAAATCCAAATAATCCTGTTTGAAAAAGAGGAATTAACGTATGATGCCAATTAAAAAAAAATATATAGTACCTTCCCACCCAACTGCTTGCAATGGTGGGATGTCTTGTCCAGAAACAAATTTCTCCTCAACGACCATCTGAATCGATTGAATTATCTGAGCAATAACAATCAACATATCACCTGAAAAATAATATTTTGAGGTTATTTTTGAAAGAAAACTCACACAAAACGATACACTTGTATATTCTGAGTTTATGTTCTATGTGATTTCCGTTCCCGTTGGTTTTCTTTACTGGAAAAACTCCATCGAGGAAAATATATCCAGGAAAAGTAGAAAGGTACGTCAGGTGTATAAAATAAATATTTATTTTTGACAGCTAAGCTACTGGATCTCAGCAAAAATGAATTGTGTATTGTTACATATCTCGATAAATTTAATTTAGAGCATTTTTAGATTCATTCCTGTTTATTTTTTCTAATTCAATTAGTTTTTGTTTTCAGATAAGCGATCACACGGTCTTTTTTGTTTGTTTATTTATTGATGAAGAATAATAATCACGCATATTTTTATTAGTATTATTACTATTAAGCACGTTTAAATTCAAATTCTTTATTGGTGCTAGGACACAGGAGTGTTTAAACGAGTCATTTCGAGTTGTACAGAAAACAATTACAAAAATAATAGGTACAAAAGAGCTTGGTAAAGGGGATAAAGTCGCACATTAAAAGTCTGACAGTCATTAAAATTAGTCAAAAATTTGTACAGTGCATTTCAATGTCCCCACTATTTCATTTTTTGAACAGGCCAACTCAAAAATTTGATATTTGGGATAATGGGCTGGGCACCATCTGGGGAAAAAAATTAAATGGAAAGGGGAGGGTTTTGTGACACATCATTTTGAAGCTCCTGACGAATACTTCACAACCCTAGAATATGAGGTAAAAAGCTTGAGGTCAGTTCAGAAGATGCTCGAAATGGTTGCCTTGAATTTCTTGACATATGAACAGCCTATCCGATATTTCACGCCGAACCTTTTGGAAACTCAATATCAATATCTCTACAAATATTTAATATTCTCTGCCGTATATCCAGTAATGAAGCGGGTTCAGTTTCGTACACCTTTTGCCTCAAACAGCCCCATAAAAAAAGTACTTGGGGTACCACAGGGTTCAGTTCTTGGGCCACTGTTGTTTCTTCTTTATGTAAATGATCTTCCACAATATTTAGAAAACGTTCATGTTACCATGTTTGCCGACGACACAACGATAACAATATCCGATCAGAATGCAGAACAGCTTGCAGTTAAACTGGAAATGGTTGTAAATCAATTTTCATCCTGGTGTCAGAGAAATAAGTTAATTCTAAACACGTCCAAATCGGTAATAGTCAAATTTTTTCACCGAAAATTGTTANTCAGGAGCTTCAAAATGATGTGTCACAAGACCCCCCTTCCCATTTAATTTTTTCCCCAGATGTCGCCCAGTCGCCATCTTGAAAGTTTCATCTGTCAATTTTCCTTCAAAATAAAGTATTCATGCATTAATTTCATTATTCCAAATAAAGTTGAATTCCTTTATATCATGACCTGGATATGGTAAAAACTGTTCGAAAGATATATCTGTGTTTGGTAGATCATTTATTTTAACATTGGCAACATTGCCAAAATATTCGTCCACTTATCAGAGGAAATCGGACAATCTGACGAAATTGACTCGTTTATTTTGTTTCTGATGATATTCCACATAGCTTTTCGAGGGCACGGTGACTCAGTTATATATCTATCTTGTGAAGTTTTTTTTAGCCGTTAGTGTTTCTTATGGAAGTTTATTGACTGAACCTTTAGGCATGGTTGACGGTCTTGTAGATACCAAGTTCAAGTTCAAGTCTCTTGTGTTTCTGGATTGTAATGTGCCGAACATGGGTGACGTGTGCAAGAAGTTTGCTTGTTAATAGTTGTAGTATATGAACACTATGTATAGGTACCAACTTCTTTTTCATATATTCTTATTATCATGGTGATATAAAAAACAAGTGTTGTAAAATTGGTAACAAGTAAAGTTATTAGTTAGGAATTCATCCTCTAGTTTCTTTATAAGATTATTACAATATGGCGCAGTCGGAAAAAGAAATACTTCAGATCAATTATAATGTAAGCAGTGGAGATAAGGGAGACCTGGCAGCCAAACTAGTTTTCCAAAATTATCAAATCATTCAACATTAAAGATGATAACCCAAATTCGTGGATAAAACAATATGAATTCATGGCCGTGTCCAACAAATGGACTACAGGCGATCAGAAAATACATCATTTGAGACTCAACTTATCCGGTATTTCTCTTTGTTGGTATGAACAAAAATTCAGTGAATCCCGATCATTTTCTTGGGAGGAATGGAAAAATTCTTTCATGGTGACGTTTGATGAAGATAACATAACGAAATGGGATAAAGCTCTGAATTATAAACTCTGTCAAGAAACAATTCTTGAATATTTTTATGAAAAACAACGGTTGTTATACTCAGCAGACAGTTCTCTCTCCGAAAATTCCGTTATTTCCCTATTAATATTTTCCTTATTGATATTAGGGTTTCCCTACTACATAAGGAAACAAATATGCCATAAAGACATAAGATAGTGAAGGAACTAAACTGAACTATAGTTAATTGGAAGACTGATTGTACTAAAGCAGTCTTCCAATAAAGTGGAAAAATCCATTTTCTGTAAGACAGGTTGAAAAGTGTACAAAACACTAGAGACTAGAGCGATATACAATCACTGACTTATTTATCGAGAGTTTAAAAAATTTGGATACTTCATTATTCAATCTGTAAAGAAAATGTACTTTTTTGCAACTTTTTTTTAATATAGTCAACATGTCATATTGAACTCTTGATCTGATATAATTCTCAGATAATTATCCCCTTCCACTTATTCAATTTTTTCGTTTATTATTATGATTCAATTAAAATTTTCACTAATTTGTCTAATTTGATTTTTTTTCCTAATTACATGAACTTCAAACCGTTATCACGAAGCCATGTAATAATATTTGAGAGATTAGAAATGTGTTGGGTTATACCACAGGTTTGAAGCAGAGTTTTCAATTTTTCAGATTAAAAACCATTGCTGAATATGTCTATGTCACCCAATAATAAACTTAGATGAATTGCTGAGATGACACTATCATAGATGTCTTCAAACAAGTTTGCGAGGCATTTTTTTAATTGGACGGCAACTACTTCTTGGTCGGTGGTTCAAGCCCTNGAAAATTTCCCTTTTGAGTGAAAGTTGGGTACAAAGTAATAACTGACTTTGTGGATTGTTGCGGAGAGTCTGAATTATAAAAACAGGAGTGGAAGAGCCCTAATACAAAAAAATATTAAATTCAAAAATTATATACGTCTATAAAATATTGTCTCAATCAAATTTCAAGATTTATTTATTGAGCCTTACCAGTAATGATATCGTTTCTTCCTCGACTGTCAGCATTGCTGTCTTTTGAAATGAAATCAGCAACTCCTACTATTGCAAGTCCAACAATAACAAAAAATATTCCAGTCCATTCTCGTTTTTTCAGTATTCTGTCTAAAAATCCTGTGCTCAATAGTCCAACAAAAACTATGACCGAACCTACAACCAAACAATAAGAAATTAAGTCAAACTTTCCACAACCGTAGATACTGAGTCATGTTTTAAAATTGAAATAATTTTTGTTTTTAGGAAACTAACCTCTCCTTGGCAATTTATATTCTAAATTTGTCTACAACAAAAGTAGGCAAATAACAAGAACAAATTTTTATAAGAAACCAAACCCGTTTTCGAAACAAACTGGAAAAACACTTCTACGGGTTGTATCTAAACAGTTGGAAACAACACTGCTAATGTTAAGGGGGATGTAGTACAACCCATCTCTCCTCTGTGTTAGTACTTCAAGAAAGGTTTATGAGGTATCTGTACATAAATATCAATTAAAATGCATCTCTTGGAACACTATTAGACGATGAATCTTTCAGAATAGCAGTAGGACTTAGGATGGGTTCATCTAGTTGATGAGAAAGGTACACATGGTTTGAGTTGCAGGAGAAGTGCAGGGCGTACATCTCGACATCACCAAGCTATGAAACGAGCTATGTTGTCAGCGGATGTTCCTGCAATTCTGGAACCCTTAGGTACCAGTCGAGATGATGGTAAACGACCAGATGGCATGTCTCTCATACCATGGAAATACGGTAAACCTGTGGTATGGGACTTTACTTGCGTTGACACGGTCGCGGCTTCCCATCTAGCCGAAAGTTCCAAGTCTGCTGGAACTGCAGCAATTGTCTGGCGAGAAATTGAAAAGGAAAAAATACCAAAATCTTGGAAACAACTATCTGTTTCATCCAGTAGCGGTTGAAACTTTTGGTGTTTATGGCCCGGAGTCTCTGTTATTCGTTCATGAACTCGGAAGGAGAATAGGCCAAGCAACGAAAGATCACCGTTCTACCTCTTTTTTGTTAGAAAGAATTAGTATTGCTATTCAACGTGGCAATGCTGCTTCAGT